CCTAATATTCAATTGTAAGGGCCCGAACACAGAGGATGAATGCTGGACCACATGGTTCCTGCCCCTCTCTTGGGAGTAGACAGCCTATCCCGCCTTTAATGGAGTCGTGTAGGTCTATGTACAATTATTTAGTTTGGACGGGTCAATGGTCAGCTCCAGCTGCAAAAAGAAGGCAGCACTTGATTGGGAAGTGAAGGTGCCGTTTAAGTATCCAAAAGCACTAGGGTTAACCCAAGCTCCCTGTCTATGGGAAGCTTTCTCTGTGGAAAGAATATGGAAAAGAAAAGTGAGTCAATTGAATTTCAATCCCACTGTAAATGTCAAGTATGTACTCAACAATTTCTGCGGCTTGAAAAGCATGGTGTACTCTTTTTGTGGTTTGACAAGATTTTTTAAATGACCTTCAACTTTTACCTAGTAGTAAAAGCGAAGTGAACACTGGTCGCTTTCTGTGATGAGCCATGCACTCAACATTTCCAAAAAAAGCCTCTGAATGCGCGACTGACCCTCGGGTAATTGACTGTATCGAGAAAATTTTATTGTCGACTCAGAGAGAGGGTTATGACGATTTATCTGTTTTTTGATAGCATTTAAAAGTAATGTTCGTTTTCAGCTTTGACCTGGCAAAAAAAAATTTAATTCCGTTTACTTTAACAAATTTTCTCATCCATAGTTTTAATCCTACCTCATTTTTTTACTTGAACCATTGACAGGAAGGCTGGAACCCTCAGAGTTCAAAGACTTCAGTTAACACCTGAGTCACCTTTTCTAAATGCTAACCATACAATTCAAAAACGATCCTGGGAATGTAAATTGCACCACAAGACACGACAAAAAACAAAGCAGAGCCAGGAATGCTGGACCAATTTGATAACAACAACTTGAAGAAGTGTTTTTAGGGAATATATTGGGCTAGTCTTATTTATTCTCCTCCCCTTCAATGACGAGGTTTACGTTGTGATGTTATTTGAGCACTTCAGATTTTGAGTTCAACCTCAAAACAGTAAACGAGCTTGCAAACAACCGCCACGGCAGTCTTCAATCAA